CGCCGTGGCCGGGGCCGCCAGGTCTCGGCCTCGCGGCCCCCGCGCGCGCGCACCGCACACGCTCCTGCGAATGAATGGGGGAAGAGCTTTTTATCTTGGTGGGAAACGGGCGGATTTTCTCATTAATTTTGTCAGCTGCGCGGCGTGAAAGGTTGTAAGTAAAAAAGGTTTTCGCGCGCGCGCTTCTTCCTTCCTTCCCTTCATTCTTTCTTTTCCATTATTTTTTTATATTTATTCCCCCCCCCCCTCGACCACTACTGCCGGGGGTTGCCCGGACTGATTTAGTCCAACTGGAGGCTGGCTTCCTCTCTCGGTAACAGCACCAGAGGGTGGACCGGAACTGCCATGGTCGTTGGGCCTTATAGTGAAAGTGCGCCGCCACTAAGTTTCAATCCCCGTGAGTCCTAAAGCTAAAGAGCCGCGCCTAAAAAGAGGCATTCATTGGCATTACGAGACTCACGAGGACGCACCCGTCAAGCAGACCTGGTCCGAGGAAGGACGCCGACGGCGACGTCCATGGCCGCCCCTCTCAGCCTCGCGGCCGCGGCTCGGCGATAGGAGTCCCCCCGGCACGCCGCCGTGCAGGCCGGGGCTCACAGCGCGCAACGCGCCTCGCGGTCCACCCGCGCGCTTCTCGCCGTAAGCTCGCGACCAGCGCCTTTTGTTCCACAGAGAGAAAACCCATCCTGCTGTGGTGCGGCCGGCCCCGAGCCACAGCCAGAAGCCCCCCCCCCCCCCCCCATTTCCTCCTCTTCCACCAACCCAATTGTTTCACACTTTTCTATCCTCACCGCATTCTCTTTTTCAACCCCCCCCCCTCCTCCTTCCTCTACCTCTCCCTCCGCCCAGTTTCTTTAGAATTACGGAAACAATTGCGGCCCAGGATATCCAGAGACAGAAACGACCCCGCGGGCGCCCCCGCCCTCCACTGGGAGGGGCCTGTGCCTGAGCTGCAGCCACAGAGGGCTGCTGCTACAGCTACAGACCACCTAGCATTTCACTCTTTCCATTCTCGTTTTGAAAAGAATAGCCTAGGTCCTAAAATATAATTTATGATTCCAACAATTTAAGGTTGACTTACACTCAAAGGGCTTATTATTCTTTCAAGAACGATATTGATGACGCATGCTCAGTCTCTCGCATTTAACCACACCAAGCGCAACATTTAATGTTCATAAACTAGATCTAAACCAAGAAGCACAATAAAAACTTGGCTGTTACGGTAAACTCACAGAATCGAAATACTTTCAAAGTAACAACTTTGACCACAATCAACAGGTTGACGCTTGGGCTGGATAGATTTCGAAAACTTCAGCCTAATAATACTGGTCAAAGTCTTGTGTGTAGGCCTATTACCTTTGGCATGAATTTCTAGTGAATTCAGCTATATCCTTCAGAAGCCGGAGCTAGAGTGTCACTGACAACCACTAGCCAGAGAAATAGGAAGGTTGGCTCGTCTAACAATACAAATTATTGAAGAGTAACACTTACCAAATTGTGATTAATGGCTGAGAAGGGGCTGCTGGCTGCGTTCTTGAACGTTGGCACATTCTTGCAAACAGAGTTCCAAATCATTGATGACTTCAACTTCGAGGTGGTCTTCCAAAGAGGAACATAACCTTTCTTTTGATTAACCACCACCAAACTCGCACAAATTTCGATCATTTTCTTTATCTGAACTTGTTCCATTTCCAAAAGGTTACACAAAGAGCACTTTTTTCTTCCAGTCACTAACGTTCATTCATTAAATCGTTTATTTAACGGAAAAGGTATCACGAGGAACACGCTGAGGTCATGACGCGTGAGGAGCACTTGTTCGTTCGAAGGCGACAAGGCGACGACACGCAAGCCAGCATCCGGAGCGTCTTGCCACTCTTTTACTGCAAATAATCGTTTTAGTTTAGTGACGCAGCCGACGTCGGGACACGGTGCCGTCGAGTCAAAGTTTGTTTTTATCTCTGGTACTCGTTTTCGCTCGGTGTTAAGAGTGAGTACGTTCCGTTGTACGTGCGCGTCCTCACCACTCTGTCCGCGTAACTTCTGGGTCGAGTTGTTGTTGTTCGTCGGGATAGTCGTGACAGTGCGAGAGTAGTGGACCCGTGGAGGTTGTGGGTGCTCAAGGTCGTGCCTTCGCTCCTAACCTGTCCTGTCGTGGGCATCTGCAGCCATAAGGACATCACTCGCCAGCTCAACAGACTTCAGCTGATATGGAACAGTCAAGCGAGTCAAGCCATCAAAGTGAGGTTAGTGTCTGAGGCCCCGACGGCGGCGGCTCGCATTCACCTGCTGGTTCCGCGGGCTTTGTTGTGATTCCATCTAATTTCGTACTTCCGGCCCTGGGATTTCCTAAAGTAACCATAGTCTTTAACAGACCAAGACTGTCTCTACCAGGAGGGGAAACGTGCCCCGCCCCCCTCTTGCTTCTTTATTTTTACTGTGGTACATTTTGAGGGGGAAAAGGGGGGGGCACATGAACTATAACCATGCTATTTTGAAATATCAGAAACTTTGCTGTTTTTAAACACCTCACTTTTGCTAAAGTATAGAGTAGCAGGAGGCTGGATTTTTCGCAACCAGCTTGGCTGGCAGGGCGGTCAGCTTCCCCCCTCTTCTGCCCCTCCATACCCTCTCTGCGCCCACACGTCAAGAGTTACAATGGCGGGGAACGCCTAGCAGGTTACAAATTGGACGAGGGTGTCCTCCCCTCCATATCTTTTCAACAACGCCCCTCGCTCGCGCGCCCCCCGCCGCCCGCCCCGCGACTCTCTACCTTTGGCTTGGGTCCGCGCGGCATTCACACAGCGACCACTTGCAATACGCGTGATTGTTATTAGCGTCTTTGAGCTCGGGGTGATGAGGTGGGGACGCCGGGGGTGGACGCGCCGGGCCCGGGCTCTCCAATGAATACATTCAAGCACGACGCCCCCCCCCCCCGCTCTCCCCTTCTCCTCCCCGGCCCACCCTCTCCCCCCCGCCCCGCAACTCCACAGTAATCAGCATTTTCGCTTTACTCGAGCCGCTCTCCCGGTCGCTTCGGCCACTCAGAGCGTCGGAATTGCGAAAGTCGCCAGAGGAGAAGTAAAGAATCACTCTTTTGTGTTCCTGTTTTATTTTACTTTTTGACGTGCCCGTGCCAACAATTATTTTCATTGTATTTAAAAAAAAAATAGAAGTTGCCACGAAAGTCGTTTGTTCGAAATGAAAGCACTTTTGGACATTACTAGAGAGATCTATCACAAAACACAGAGGGTGAAGGTTCAGGCGACATTTATAACTTCTCTTACTTGTCAAACGTTCTCGAGCCATGGACTTTCTTGCGACGAGTGCGCACACGAAGCTGCTCATCATTTTCCCGCACAGTTTTAAAATGTGTCCTTTTTTTTTAATTTATAAAACTTTTTCCGAGCTTGTTATACGGGCACGGCTCCGCAGCCGAGCTTGGAGGGAAAATTGTCCAGTGGCGGTTTCAGGATTGCGAGAGAGAAAGTGGGAAAATAAAAAGATGATGGTGGCGGGAACGCCCCCCCCG